ATACTCTATAAAAAGGAAGGAAGAGGGGATGGAGAAGAAGAAGGGAAAAGGGAAGGACAAGGAGGGTGATTCACATGAATTAATGAGCTTACATGTACTTGCATTTGTAAAGACCGTTGGAATAGCTCATCAGTTGCTGGTGACTTTAAAAAGGAAACAAAAGAGTTAATAGAACCTGTGTATAGTCCTTCTGTCATTAGAAGGTGTGTGTTGGTATGATATCATCAGTTTTACGTATACAATACTATCTATGATTGATCTGATTTCACATCAAATGAAACAGCTAGGGTTTCTAAATCTAGTAATTAAGATCCATGCAGCCCTGCTCACATGATGAAAATGGCTGACTGAATTGGCTTGGGTGCTCTATTTCAAGTGAAATGAATGCTGCTGATTTCACTTAAAATAAAATGTGAGGCTCAGCTGCCATTGCCATTATGTGAGCTCAATATCAAAATTACATGATCTTAACCTTGACCCACCTGGGCATTTCATTCGAAGCAAAATCAATAGCATTTCTAGTTTCATGAGTCAGAACCACCCTCCCCTGGTCTTCCCTCCCTAAGTACTGTCCTTTCCTGTACTGGACAAATATCCACTGTATACTGATGATTTCACTTCAAATGATATACCTTCAGGCTTGGTTGGCCAGGGTTAAGATCTGGTCATTCTGATGATAACCTCAATAGCTCATATGTGATATGAAAATGGCTGACGGTTGAGCTACTTCATAACAGTACTGTGAAATAGAACACCCGGTCAGCCATTTTTGTCACATGAGCTTATTTTCAAAATGGTCAGATCTTAACCCAGGCCTGCCCAGGAATTTCATTTAAAGTGAAATCAACACCAAGGAGATGTATGGTCGTAATACAGTAGGGCCCTTTTTTTAGGGCTGTAAATTTCACAAATTGGCCTAGAAATCTATTTTGCTGATTTAATTTTTGCGAATTTATGCCATCTGCTATCTTTTACCATAATAATTTGATTTTGTGGAAGTAATTTTTGCAAAGCTTAAAAAATTGTGAAATCCACAAAATTTACAACCCTAAAAAAATTACCCTACAGCTCACCCTACGGTATAATGTTTTCTACAGGAATTTAATCAAGATGGAATCAATTGATCAAGACTAAATGAGATATAGATAAAGACACCAAGGCTAAAGGCTGTGGAAGAGAATCAAGAGATCAAGGCACTCTTGAAGCTTTGTACTTTGGAGTAAATTAGTCTATTCTTTTTTCTAACCAACCATGTTTGTTATCTACCGTATAGCTAGAAAATTTGGAGTGTTAAAATTTGGCGAATTGACTTTAAAAGCGGTTTGGAGCTTAAAATTTAATTTTGGCAAAATTTAAACTCTGAGACTATGGAACTCTATGAAATTAGAGACTAAAAAATTGGCAAATGGACCTCAATTCGCCAAAGTTTTACTCCACCAAAATTTCTAGCTATATGTATATATACGGTATTTTTTAATTCACCAATTATATATCTGCATAATTATTACCTTAAAGCCGTATATACACTCTATAAAGGTCAGGGTCTTGATTGCCCCGTCACAAATTAATATTAATACAGGCTATATGCAAGTGATATTCCCTTGAAATAGTCTTGCAAGCCAGACTAGTCATGGTCTGGCTTGCGAGATTACCCTAATACCCTTGAATCTCGCTTTAAACAAAATCTCACTTGAAATTTCCAAACCAACTCTTCGAGAGTGATAGGATCAGTATCACTAGCTGTACCACATCTAGCTCCTGAATGTTTCCAGGGTTCTGTCATTCTGTTTCACAGAAAATTGGCCATCTTCCTAAAATTGCAGCAAATGGGCGTGGTGTTGACCATTTTAAAAATTATCTTATGACCAGACCATGAGCCCAATAGTCTTGACCATGGCTAAAGACCATAATCATCTAGATTGTGCTCCACGATTTAGTAATATTTCATGTAATCATTGTCTATGTAAATTGCTTTGTGAAACTTGTATTAAAAATAAATAATACTAATATTGATTCTTGAAAGTACCTGCATTCAGTGCATTGGATGTTATAGCAAACAATTAAGAATCTCAAAGTAAGGCATACAAATTATCCAAGTAGATGTACCAATATGCTCAAATATGATCCAGTTGTTCAATGATTTGTTTCATTGTTGGTCGTTTCTCAGGATCTTTAGTACCACAAGATACAACAAGAGAATGTAAGGAGCTTCCACTCCCTCCTGATGAACGAACTTGGTCTAATAAGACACGGAATATCTGATGCTCAGGAAAACGACAAGTTATCACTTCACATAGCAATATCCCATAACTGAAAACGTCAGCTTTAGGTGATTGCTTAGACTCTTCAAAGTCCACCACAGTCTGGAGGCACTCAGGTGCACTGTAAACCATGGCTCCTACTGCTTTTGTAGTAGCTGAACGTGCCATTTTTGCTAACCCAAAGTCAGATATCTTTGTCTTCCATTTCCCTGGGCCCTTTGATTCAAGGAGTACATTAGCACTGCTGACATCACGATGAATAATAGGATCAAGTAGACAGTGTAGGTAGCTTAAACCAACAGCTACATCACGCATTATAGAGAGAATCACTGGTCTACAAGCAGGGTCAGGGGTCAGCTCTTTCTTCTCATAGGCACTCCGTAATGAGGTATCCATTACTTCAGTAATAATCATAGGATTCCCTGATGGATCATCTAATACAGCTCCTATAAACTGGAGGAGATTAGGATGGTGTAACTGAGACAATGTGGCCATCTCACGATTGAGCATTTGAAAGTAATACTCGATATTTTTCTGATTCATTATAGATTCATAAAACCGCTTCACTGCAACTTGCTGCCCATGAAATTTCCCAATTATAACTTCGCCCCAGCCTCCACTGCCTAGCTTGTGACGAGATAGCGTGACATCCTTATAGCTAATTTTCCAGTTATTCTCTAATGCTGTAACTTTATCTTCAAGTTTCCTAACTTGCTCACTCAGTCTGTAGATTTCTGATAGCAATTTACTGACAAGCTCATCCTTTTCTTTGTGATCTTGCTGCAGATGCGTAACAGCATCCTTGAGCTCCTTGTTCTCAGTTAGGAGTTGTTCAGGTATTATTTTCAGTTCCTCGTTTAGCTTCTGTGCTTCAGTTTGCTTCTTTTCCTTTGGACTGGCTGGTTCAGTGCCTCTACCTAAAAGAAAAACCATAATCATCTTTTTCATTATCACTTTAGAGAACTGACTATAATACACATATAAGACTCACTTCTTTTTTTCTTATGCTTGGCTGACTTAATCATCATCTCATTTTCTCGAGCAGCCTCGATTTCAGCTTCTTGATGAATCTCATCAATTGTTTTTGGTATTTGAGGTTGTCTCCTTGGTTTCCAATCATTCTATTAATCAAGAATGGTCCAAATAATTTGACAATTCATTTGACTTAATTAATTTATATTTTAAGCAAACATGATTTTACAAAAGCCTACTTTTCTCAAATCCTGGACATCAAGTAGCATAAAACGTGTTCTTAACTCTATTTTTTTCTTTTCAATTATTTCATTGATTCTTTCAAAATACCTATCCATACGTTGCTAAAATAAATACTAAATAAAAAAATTACGACAAGTCACAACATACTTTAGCTTGAGGATGATCTAGTTTTTTGCCAGTGACTGTTATCAGTACACAGAAGCGTTCCAATGCTTCATTATCACACTCAGACCTTAATAATCTAACAATGCATTCATGCATTATACTCTCTGAGAGCATCTTAAGGAAAAAAGTTGTAGCACTATAGTAAAGTAATCAATGTATACCTTTAATTTAAATAGCTCTCCAAGAAATCGATGATTAGCCAATGAATTTCTATGAGCCACATTTTCCAATTCTTTAAGCTCAGCCTCTTTATCTTCTTTCTCTCCCTAGAATAACAGTTATAGCTTGTGTAAACTACATATGATAAACTATTAGTCTATTCTATTGACTAATTCCAAAACTAAGAGACCATATTATAATACACCTATGAGTATATTCAATAATCGAGGATAGTAGAGTTTTAAAAATATCTCCAAATGGCCACTGAAAAGGCTACACATTAAATGGTGGACACTTACAGGTGCTGCTATTTCAATAGCTTTAAGCATTTCTTCCTTTGCCTTGTTGTCTCTCTTGTCTTTTTCAAACTCTCTCTGACATAATGATAGCAGTTCTCTTCTAAACGTTGTCTCCTTCATTACTTTTTTACATTCATCATCACCATCATCATCACGCATCACAATTTCAACCTTTATCTAATTAATATATAACAACAATAAAAGTATGATCATTATAACACAATAGAGTATTAATTCATGGGAATTATAATAATTAGAACTACTAAATGAATGTACATGTAAAAAATTTCAGACAAATTTAGCAAAGCATTGTTTGCATTATTATTATGATTACACTGAAGTTTAGGGTTTACCACAGGATTTTGGCATAGTGCTCATGCAGCTTCTTGTCAGTTGGCTGTAGGACCCTGTACTACATGTATAATAGTACAGGGTAGTAAACACAAGGGCAAAATCCTTCATTTTTGTGATACGTATACATCATTGTACATTTTCCTATGTTGTGTATCAACTTTGAGTAGATTCTGATCAATTTATGAATTTTTATGAATTTTAAAGCTGCTAAAAAATCGGGCAATAGCCTTTGTTCTTTGGCCAAATTTTGTAGGAAAAAATTCTCCACTTTTATAATTTGTTTTGATACATATGCATGTCCTTGTACTGTTGCTTCAAATGCCATGTACTGTACATCATTTAGTGCATAAAGCATGCTAATGCTGTCTAGCTGACTTATGGGAACTGCTAGAGTTAGGAAATGTGAGTTTTATTTATAACTTTGTAGCTGCTGGAGAAGAAAAACAATATTAAGGGCTTCGCCAAACAAGCAATGAATTGACAAAAGATTATTCAATAAACTATTACACAAAAATGTAACTTGTACTTACAAATGAGAGGACACGGCACATTTGAGCATAAGCTTCACAAAACATAGGTCCCTTGAATACCTAAAATGAGAGATAAGAGTAGAGATTGAGGTGAATGAAAAGATGCATCATGCCATACATTTAAAAAAATGATATCCACACATCCCTTTAGCCTCTCCTCGTTATCAATCTCAAGTTCTCTAGCCTGTTCTGCAAGTTTCTTAAAATTCTGGGGAGTCAGTTTATTTAAGATACCCTAACAAGAGAAACAACTTTGAATGTTCCTTTATATCTTCATCAAGACTTCATGTCTCACTTTCTCTATCTCACTTGAAATTTTCTAAACAATTCTTCAGTGACAGGATCAGTATCACTAGTTGTAACACATCTAGCTCCTAGACGTCTCCAGGGTTCTGTCATTTCACAGAAAACTGACAAAAGATATCTTCCAGTCAGATCAGAATCAGATCTGCATTCGCTCCTCCTACTGGAATAATTGGAGTGGGCGTGGTCTTGCTTGTTTATTTTGTATGGCTTTGCAGTGAACATGGAGACTCATTTAAGGCTCGCTGTGAATGTAAGTGGATTTATATCATATGGTGCATTTCACTGTATCAGCTATTACTAATGATATCCTTTACTCCTTCTCCTCTCAACAGGGCCCCACAGTTCAGATAGATAAAGCTAGCAGTACAGTTAAACCAGCCGCACTTCCCTCCTCCACCTCTTCATCTAACGGCATGGCTGATCTGACCAGTCCAGTTATACAAGTTAATATAAGCTCCATTGTTAGTCCCAGCCAGAGAGAGGCCTCCGATCACGAGGAGAGCTTCAAGACGGTCCCAGTTACCATAAACACCACAGCATGTGAAGTGGTTAATATGCTAATGAGTGAGGCTCATGATCCCACCAAGATGGGAGAGTATTGTCTTCTTGAGGTGAGCCAGTAGCTTTATTATGTCTTGAGAACAGGAGATGCCGCAGTTCAGCTGCCCCAGACACATTTCCTATTTATCCATTGCAACAATAGACTTCATTAGCAGCTATATAAAATTGCATTGTGCTTCAATAAGTTCCTATTGTGTTAAGCCTTAGAGTATGTGAAGCTCTATGCCAAATAGTTTGAACACCTGCAGTGTATATGCTAATGATACCATGTTTTGCATAACCTATGAATTGGTCGTGAAAATAGTTTTAAATGATATTCAAAATATTATGTGCTGTTTATAATACTGTTTGTTGTTTGTTTGTGAATGTCGAGGGTAGTTTTGACTACTAAGATCTTTAACATAATGCACATTACACACAACAAAGACAGATATTTGCATGCACTGCATAGACTCTTGTCCTTAACAAAAATAATATCAAAAAGAAACTCAGATATAAAATACTGGATGTGTGTTACATCATTTAGTCCAATGCGACACTAAGCAACATACTGCTTACAACACTCTTGAATAGCCTTTGATGATGTGATCAAGCATGTTCAACTGGAATAGAAAGCCTTTCTTAGCCCTTGATCGTTACATGTTGTCTAGTGTGTGTTGTTGCACTTTGACACATCCTCTTCCTGTCCCTCCACAGTCCATTCAGAATGAGAAAGGAAGCTACAGGAGAGTCATCCCCGATAGAGAGAAGGTACTGCTTATAAAGCAGAAGTGGAGAAAGAAAGGTGAAGGGAGTTTCACGCTAATTTGCAAAGAAGATGCAGAATGCTATGGCAAAAGAAAGTGTAAGTGTGCAATGTATACCATATTATAGCTACTGGATGTACAGGATGTACCATGGACTGTTTTGTTGGTAGAGTAGCTTGTTGATTTGAGATTTAATTTAAAATATTTTGGTCTGACTTAATCATGTGTCATATTCAATTTAATGCAGCAAACGCATTTATAACCTAGGGAAAAATTTAATTTTAATATTATAGAATAACGTTTTTTCTTATCTCTGCCTTTCCCCGTCTCACTTCCTATAGTACACGTAGACAGCAGTTCATATTTCTTCACTCCCAGCCCAAAGAGCTTGAGAAGTCAACGAAGATACAGTCTCCCAGTCTCTTTGAAGGACGCTGTCCCTCTGCCTTCTTCCGAGCAGCTCCAGCATACAGAGGAGAAACAAGACGAACCTTCTTTTGGTACCTCGTCCGGACAAAAGTCGATGAATATGTCCAAGATCATGAGTCAGGTTGTTAAAGACTCAAGTCGTTTTCAGCAGAGAAGAGGAAGTCTCAGTAGTAGCGTCCAGCGCTCTACGTCTCTACGAACAACCCCAGTAAAATCTAACACCTCTCAGCCCTCCTCCCCTACTCTGCGTGATATCGTAAGCATAGAACCAATCATTTGTTCTCCTTCTTATTCCGCAGTTCGGGCCTTCCCAGAGTTTGTCCACAGCCCCACATCAACCTCAGAGACGGTGGATAAGAGCAGGACTGCTGTCTCTCCTGTAAGGAATACACTGGAGACACTCACAGAGCAAGAGAAAGCTGATGAGTCAAGCAGTACAGTACAGGGTGTCTCTAAAAATGATGGTATCTCTGAAAGTCTTGAGAGGAGTATGAGAAAGATGGAGGAAGGCCCGATACTTGTCCACACTGTCGTATTGAAGGAACAATATCCGGTCCATCCTAAGAAAGTTTTTGTTAATGATCCAGTGCCAAGTTCCTCTGGAGATAAACCGAATGGTATGCCTTCATCACTTGTAGGGACCAACTCTACACCATCTGATGCAGCCAGTCCTTCCCCTGCTTCACTCAATGTTGTTGGTATAGAGAACTCTGAGATGGACCTCATCGAGTCTCTAACGTCAATCCTAGACTCTAAACTCAATGCAGCAAGGAATCCTAATGACGATGCTAATCAAGCAACCATAGTTGGTGATTTGATATCACCTAAACGAAGGACCAGTTTAGTGGACGAGGCTTGCTCTAATATAAAGAGGAAGCGCTCTATTCCTCATCCTTCCGAACAACCAAGGATACCAAATCGATCCATCACTCCTTCTAAATCCAGTAGCTCCCTCTCCTCCAGCACTCTCCTCTCTCCCTCTCATCGAGAAGAGCTCCTGACAGCAGCTACGGATATGATCTTGGACACAAGGAGAAAGAAGTCACTAGCAAATGAGGACCACCACTCCTTAAAAGAAAAGGAGCAAGAGGCAACTGCCAACTGTGACCAGGACCAGCCTCGCAAGATATTAAATTTTGAAGATTTTCAACTACTAACTGATGATTGTCAAGATCACAACAGCACCAAAGATACAAATAATGTATTGATCACAGGAGGAGGAGGTGGAGGAGGAGGAGGAGGATCTCTTGATGACAACATCATTACTGGAGGAGGACTGGGAGAAGAGGGGTCACCAAGCCCTGTTGCAAAGCTGAGGAGACACAAATCGGAAAGATTTCGTCCAGGTCTCTTGTCTCTTTTTAATAAGAAAATCAAAACTCCAGTGGAAAAGAGAAAGGAAGAGGTGGGAGGGGACAAAGGGAGCCGGCACAATGCCTCAAAGAGTCAGAAGTTTTCTCCGAAGGTTCCTTTTAAAAGGAGTCGATCGGATCATCATTTCAATAAACTTTAAAAATAATTCTTATCTGTACAATAAAAGACTTTAGTAACAGTACTGTTAGTAGATATGATGGTATAATAATGCTGCAAAATAATGCTGCAATATATATTGGTGTCATTTGATGACTTTTACAATTATTATTGTGAATAATGATTGTACTAATAATTATTGATGAGCTAGTGTCACTAGTACATGTACAAGCATGTAGTAAGAGTAGCCTTAAATTTTGGCTACACGTCATACTATAAGTGACAGGTATTGTACATGGCACAATATTGAGAACACTAGAATTAGATTTGTTACTTCTTTGTGCACTACGTATGGATATTATAGAGATTGATCCAGATAAAAGAGAGGAATTGAAATGCTATTTATACAAGTACTGGCCAGACACACTAGAGGTATTGCATGATTATTATCAAGTAGCATTTTTACTCTTTATTGCAGATGGTACGTGGAATGAGTGGTGTGATTTTAAAAAAGGAGCATAATGTTAAGATATTCACTGATGGCTGTTGGCCTAATATGACAACAGTGGTATTAACATACAATGAAGGCAAGATGAAATGTAATTTTTAGTTAAACTCCTCCAGGCTCTTTTAAAGATCTTTCTTCTGTAGACATGTACTCATTTAGCATTAAAAATTTAGCAATGCAAGTGATACTGAAATCGCCTTGCTTCGACTGTTTAGCAAATTCATCAACATGCAACAGAGGTAAAGTAATAATTGATAAAATTTCATCAAGTTAAAACTGCTTGTCTGCTCACAAGTAGAGATAGAATTAATGACAAACAAGCTGGGCATGGAAAAATTTAAAAGGCCACCTGACATGCTTTCCAAGTACATTTTTTCTCTGCAATCAAATTGCTCTGGAGGATTTGTAAAGTACACCATCACTGTAGCTATACACAAATTTTTACTATGCTTTTTAGATCTCTTCCTCCTCAATACAAACTTGGCACTATTTGTCATGAAGATATAGACTTAATTGTCTCATACTGGGAACCAGCAACATATGAAGATCTCAAGGAGCTCATGAAGCACTTTATCACTAGCTATCCTAATGCTGCAGTGTATGATACAATGAGAGAACCAGCTCAACCAGTCTCCTGGGTAGTATCATCAGGAATGGGGATTCTCTATCACTTGTACACAATGGAGGAGTATCGAGGCAAAGGGTTCGGGATGGCAGTAGTGCAGGAGCTCACACAAAAACTACTGACTAAAGAAATCAGCCCAGTAACATACATAAGAGCTGACAAAACAAAATCCCAAAATGTTTTCATAAAATGTGGATATGTGAAGATGAATATAAGTTCTGATGTTGTCTTTTCATACTGTTAGATAGTAGATAGTTTAGACCACGGTTGTGAGCCCACAATATAACTATTGTCAATCATCATTACCATTACATTTAATTGTTCTGTAATCACAAAAATATTTACAAAGTTCATTTCAAAAGGCTTCAGAGAGAGAGAGAGGAGACAATAAAAGGAAGTAAGAAAAAGTCTACATAAATTTCATCTCGTCTTTAAGTCTTACATTTTGTAAAGATTTAAGAATTTTTCAACAGACCAACGATATCCTTCACAGAATGATATAATATATTTTTAATCTAGTGAAAGTAAATGAATAAAATGTGCTACATTGAAAGAGTGTTACCTGTAATTTATCCTCATGATTGCTATGGTAACTTGAGAGCTGACGAAACTCTTCCGTCAAGAGTACACACTGGTTGACATGCTGGAGAGAGGGAGGGAGAGAAAGAAGAGGTTGAGAAATAAGACAACAGAGAATAAAAAGGAGAGAAAGTTTAGGAATGCCCCACTTACTTCTGGAGATACAAAATCTTCAGCAATTTTGATACAACTACAATGATTTTGAACCTAAAATATGGAAAACATAATGATAATAATAATAATAATAATAATAATAATAATAATAATAATAATAAGGATGTGGAAATTACAATATCATTTTGTACTGACTTGATGTGGGGCTCCTGCTGGTATAAAGATGGCATCTCCTTTGCATTGAGCTATAGTCCAACCTTTCACTCCTTCCTCTTCCCAAAGCTTCTGTCTAATCTCAGCATCCATATATATCAGCTAGGAAAAGTAAAATAAAGCATAAAACAAGCAGTTATTATTATACAATTTTTTGAAGTAAATTTAAAAATTACTCAAAAAAATAATTTTAATGAAAATCAGTTCAAACTTATATAACATAGAAGTACAAATATACTACATGCAATAGAAAATGTATTTAAAATGAAGATTTATTTTCTAGCAATTTTTACAAAATTCCCTGTACAGGGACTTTGGCCCAATTTTTGATTAACTTTAAAAATTCGTAAAAAATCCAAATTTAATTGAAATCAGCTCAAACTTTCTACACAACATAAGAACGTGTATATGCATCAGAAAATGTAATAAAAATTGAGAATTCTCTCTTAGTCATTTTCGGTGAAACTTGGCCAACGACCCTGTACTATGTACTATAGTACAGGGACTTTGGCCCGATTTTTGAGTAACTTCAAAAATTCGTAAAAAATCCAAATTTAATTGGAATCAGCTCAAACTTGCTACACAACATAAGTACATGTATATGCATCAGAAAATGTAATAAAAATTGAGAATTCTCTCCTAGCCATTTTTGGTGAAACTTGGCCAACGACCCTGTACCTATAGTATAGGGACTTTGGCCCAATTTTTGATTAACTTTAAAAATTCGTAAAAAATCCAATTTTAATTGGAATCAGCTCAAACTTGCTACACAACATAAGTACATGTATATGCATCAGAAAATGTAATAAAATTGAGGAATTTTCTACTTGTCAATTTTGGTGAAATTTGACAAAATCCCTGTACTATAGTACAGGGACTTTTGTCCGATTTTGGAGCAACTTTAAAAAATCATAAAAAATCCAAACTTGATCGGAATTAGCTCAAACTTTCTACACAACATAAGAACATGTATATGCATCAGAAAATGTAATAAAAATTGAGAATTCTCTCCTAGCCATTTTTGGTGAAACTTGGCCAACGACCCTGTACTATAGTATAGGGACTTTGGCCCAATTTTTGAGTAGCTTTAAAAAATTTGTAAAAAATCTAATTTTGATCGGAATCAGCTCAAACTTGATACACAACACAAGTACATAAATATGCATCAGAAAATGTAATAAAAATGGAGAATTCTATCCTTGCCTTTTTCATAAAATTCCCTGTACAGTATTGTACATGGTCTTTGGGCCAATTTTTGAGCAACTTAAAAGGTTCGTAAAAAACTGAAATCAGCTCAAATTTTCTATGCATTGTGTGCAGATCACACATGTAAAAGTAAAGTTATAGCTAAGCGGTACTGTACGTACATGTAAGTACATGTATATGCATTTTCTCCTGAGACATTTTTGATGAAACACAATGATCAAAAAGCTAAGTTTATAGTCATGTACTATGCAATACACTCTAAGCTAATCACTGGAAGGTAGTCTATCAATAATGCTCACCTGATCATGGATAGGATCGGAGCCAGGTTTAGATGATGACATTCCTCTTCTTTCCATTACTTTCCTCAAGAACTGTCTTATTTTATCGCTGTCTGATGGCGGATATATGTGCCACAAAGCTCCCTAACAAAGAGCAATATGATGAAGATATAAAGAGAATAATTTATTTTTTGCAACTTACAATTTCTTTTGATTGTTTAAGAAAGCCAACAGTTGCCTGGCATGTCTCCCTCTCAACAGTTTCATATAGTTCATCTGAAAAAAGGAGTCAGAATTCAGTAAAATCACACTTTGGTACAAAATTACAAATTCATATATAAATAACAGTAGCATTATTTTGAATATTAAATACATGTATAGAACTATAGATATAGATGAAGTGGGAAGTCTTCACTATACAGCCATTTTAGACTTTTAGTGCAATCAATTGATATGCAGCAAATGTAGCAGTTAAATATTTTATATGTACATGTACATAGTAATAAATGCATTGAAAATTGAGTGTGTGATTTATAAAGGAACCTTTCTCATTGGGTTTGTCAGTATCAGTACAATAGACCATCACATTAACAGCATCAGAGACATCAAGGTGAAGATTAGTGGTACCACAACCGGCCAATGTACTTGTTCCTAACAATTAATAAAAATTAATAATAAAAATATAACTACATGTACAGGTAACTCTTCCTCTCTATCAATACAATAATAATAATAATAAAATTAATAAAAATAAAAAATAAATAATAATAAGATTAAAAAAAATTAATTAAAAATTTTTCTATAAAATTAATTATTCTTTTTGTCTGACAATAATAATAATAACAATAATAATAATAATAATAATAATAATAATAATAATAATAATAAATAATTAATAATAAAATCAAAAAAATAAAACATCAAAAAATTTAAAAAAAAAACAAAATAAAATTTAAATTTAAAAATAAACTAATAAATAAATAAATTTATAAAACAAAAGCTCCTTCTGTTTGCTTACCATAAGCATTGTACATCTTTGGTCCGAGGTCAGGTTTGACAAAGAAGTCAGGAAGACTTGAGGTGAGGTTCAGTTTACCATCCCTCCTTGTATAATCAGGCAATGGCAGTGCTTGTACCAAATCATGAAACCTGTAAAATAATTAGTATTATAATCATACAACAAGATTATACTATACAACTGATACAATAGCATTATAAAAATGCAACAATAAAGCAGCAATACAATTGATATAAAATGTATCACTGTTAGGCTAATAAGTCAATGAGAGGGAGTGATGCCTTACCTTTGTGGTAATTTGTCAGAGAAATCTTCCCCAGTCGGCCAGTCTTTGAGTTTCAATAAACGAGGACAGTTACTAACAGGATCTTGCAAACGGCCTAACAGAAATGAGACAAACAGTTTCTCACTTCTCTATTTTATACTCTCTCTCTCTCTCTCTCCCTCCCTCCCTCCCTCCCTCCCTCCCTCCCTCCCTCCCTCCCTCCCTCCCTCCCTCCCTCCCTCCCTCCCCCTCTCTCTCTCTCTCTCTCCCTTATATCTTACAGTGTATGTCATCAAATCCGCCCCAAAACGCTTTACTAGGCACTTGTGGCATTATCAGTCCAGTCCTACAGTCCACCAGGTCAGCCGGCTCCTCACCTACACACAATAATAAACCAATGATAACAACATCCAGTAAAAGATAAAAGTATGTACAATCATACATATATTGACATTTCAGTAGGATATGACATCACAGTACTACATACAATAAATTTGTTCATGGAATGAATTAGGACTTAGGACGTAAAATAGTAATGCATTTAAATTATATAGTGCACGTGTATAATATGTATGTACATGTACATGTAGATCTGTACATTGTACATGTGTATTTATTACCAAAGTCCTGTAGGAATGAGTTAGGAGTCCATATCTCTTTATTAAGATACTTATCAATACCTGCTACCACCACTGGCCTACTCCTGTGCCATGCCCACTATTAATTAATACATAAAAATTTAGTGGGTAGCCCATTAAAAATTTACCTGGAAGGCGGTTATGTTGCTAAGGTGGGTGGCATCAAGAAGATATAGTATGTCACCATCGCATAGCCACAAGTGTGGAGCATCAACTAAAAATAAAATACATGAAATATAATAATAATAATAATGACCTTGCTAAGACCAATTATAACAGTGATTAATTAATTTATGATAAAATTGGTAGGTAAGCTTGTCATCATAACCACAACAAATAAAATTATAAATGAAATAAATAAAATTATAAATGAAATAAATAAAACTATAAATGAAATAAATAAAACTATAAATGGGTAATTATCATACTTTTAGGTGGCAGACTGAAGTCGTCAGTGTCATTGCTGCAGGAGTGAGGTAGCTCCAGTATGGGCTCAAGTACTGAAGGACGGTCCAGGGAAGAGGAGGCAGCGGGGGAGGAGGAGGAGGAAGGCTCACCGATCGTCTTAATAGCATCAACACTAAAGGGTTTCCTATGGGATGAGGATAACAGGAAATATGGGGCATTAATAGATACATAGATGGTATAAAATTTGTATCATTTTATTGTACCCTACACACAGGGTTTCCCACAAAGCATGCTGTTAAATCTTAAGCAAAAAGGCATGCTTCAAGAGGTGAATAGCCATATACATGTAATAAGATATAAAGTAACTTTAGAATAAATAAACATGTGAAGAAAGAGTTACCTGGGTTGTTCTTGAGTGCTGACTGTTAATTTGCTTAATAAAGAGAGGAGTCTGGAGACAGGGGGAGGAGTTGCTATAGAGATACTGTTACTGCGACAAATCTGAAATAACTGACAGAGAACATCAGACAAAACTAGGGAGAGAGAGAGAGAGAGAGAGAGAGAGAGAGAGAGAGAGAGAGAGAGAGAGAGAGAGAGAAGAAAATAAAGGTACAATTACATGTAGACTGGGATTATTTTATTGTGATTGACAAACAAGGTTCACTACAAGAACTAAGAACTAATAATGATGATGATGATTTTTTAATAATAATAATAATAATGATGATGATATTAATAATAAATTATCATACCATTTCCAGGAATAATCTGAGAGAGCAATAGCTGATATGGAGTGTGTGATACTTGATTAACAGTACATAATGGCCAGGGAGTCTGCCATGAGCTCATAGCCTCAGAACCTAAAGAAGGCAAATAACAATAGATCAATGTAGGAATAATGTAAGGGCCCACTGTATAGGGTCCCATTAGAAAGAGATTAGATGAAACATAAGATGAAGAAACTCGGTGAATACTGTATAGCGGGAAATTTTGGAGGGAGTAAAATTAGGCGAATTGCTAAATTTTGGGTAATTGGCGGGTTTTAATTTGGCAAACTGTATTTTTAAAAGTTTGAGCTGATTCCAATAAAAAAATTTTTTGAGTACGACCATTTAAAAATGGGACAATTTTTGAAAAATATGCAAGGCCCATGGTTTTTTCCAAAAAATTGCTCCAAAATCACTCCCAATTTTTATTACATTTCCTGGTGCATATTGATGTCCTTATGCTGTGTAGAAAGTTTAAGCTGATTCCGTTAAGCAATTTTCAAGTTATGACTATTTTAAAGTTCACCGATACTAATTAACCATGCAGTGATGATTACAAGTGCAAAGTGTCACCCACCAATGCAACTATTGATACACAACATTACATCAATGTAAACAGAAAAAAGACGCCAACTAATGAAAGAATAACATTTCTCGTCACCAACCCACCCACACACAACTACACGCAAAAATAATAAAAAATCACTGTGAACAAACAATTAAGCTAGGTCACTACATTGCAATAAAGATACATGTACATTATGCGTGCATAGGAAAAAGAGGTGGTTGGAGACTAATATTGTTCCTTTTAAAATTATGTACATTATACTAGTAGACTACAATATCATGCTTTATGTATGGCTATTAGTATTTGGTCTAAGTGATGAACTGGTTGGTTCATTTGTGGTTGCCCCGACCACCCCCAACCACCATAGGCAGGACTATGCATGTACACAATAAAGAGCTAGGGTACTTGTACTATGTACATGTACGTGTACATACATGCTTACCATTGTGTGATATACAAGCCACTTGGAAACAAGCAGGACATATTGAGAAACCACAGTGCTGACAGACCCAGTGGAGATTAAATATCGTAGTGTCACATGTGTCACATAACTCCCTCACACCTTTCACAGCACACTTCCATATAGGGAAAGCTGATGGAGGGAGAGAGAGGGAGAGGGAGAGAGGGAGAGGGAAAGAGAGAGGGGAGAGAGAGAGAGAGAGAGAGAGAGAGAGAGAGAGAGAGAGAGAGAGAGAGAGAGAAGCATAGTGTATAAGGTCAAGGTATACAATAATAATTTTCAGGTCAGATTTTGGCATAATTGACATCCAATATGAATATCAACAGGACAAAGAGAAGGAATACTGGAGGATATCATGTATCATAAATAAAGTGCATAGTGTGTAACATCAAGTATCGAGTGTGTGTGTGTACATGCAATACTGCTTATACTGTACAAGTACATGTATATACATTGAAGTTGCTTACTGTCAGTGTCGGATATGGTTCTGGCTTCCTCTGCAATGATTGCAATAAAGTTCTTGACAATCCTTGATAGTACGTATAACCCAGTGTGTGTGTTCAATCCACTATAACCTAATGATTTCACAATACATGTATATTTAATAGGATATAAGTATTATAATGGCTGACCAGTCTTTAGTGGAGTCCAGGGTACCAGATCCTCTGCTTTTGCATCACTAAAAGTAGCAAAACCTTCAACATACAAACTACCTTCATCTTTATTGATCACTCTTAGCCTACAAGAGGGAGAGAGAGAGAGAGAGAGAGAGAGAGAGAGGGAGAGAGAGTGAAGAGAAGTGTAATTGAAAGAATGATAATAAAATGAGTCCTTTACTTCCTAAACTCTAAGAACCGGCAGTATCTTGATGATGGATAGTCTCCTGATACATTAGAACACTCAATACAACGTGATATACCGTGATACGCCTGACAGAAACCATTCTATAAAGAAGATAAAACATATAAATAATAGCAATATTTATGAGTACTTCCTCCCTCCAAAAATTATAAGGCTGGTTTTACAGTTTACACAAGTACATGAGTGTTAACCACATTGTGTGCAACCCATGAGAGCTTTTACAATTAACTGAGTATAAAAATGATACTTGGCAGTGTAATCTCTCTAAAAGAATCTTTCTGACTTTCTCATACAAAATTTTTGAATGGGGTTAATATACCCCTACTACTATAGTACCATTCAACATTACAGGCTCCCTCCCTCCTCTCTCTCTCTTCCTCTACCTGAAAGAAAATGCTTCCATTCTCATATCGGCTGAGGTCCACAGTGACGAGGATGATCTTCCCAGTGACTCCTTTGATCATGTTCTTCTTACCGGTCCCAGGCTTGCGGCCTCTTTTAGCAGGAGTACGGACTTTATCAGCTTTCCACTGGAGGACCTCTGGAGTAATGGAGAGGAGAGAAAGAGAGGAATGGAAGAGAAAGAAAAGGAACAGATAATAGGATTAAAAAGAAGATATACATGTATAGTATCATGATTGTCAGCGTTTCATACAGGACTAAATTCTTAAGGGGGCGAGACAATTAAAACTTGACAATAACGTGCTATAGTTTTAGAACTTGTATTTGTCATTCTGGACATACATATTGTACATGCATCAAGCAAAAGCTGATTTTGATGGTGCAGGCACGAGGACTACAAATTAAGATTTGTTGATTTCAAATTGTGTGCTTTTACAATGAACAGCAAGTTACAAAATGTACATCTAATTCCAGCAAAATATCAACATTTTTAGGGAGAGTGGCACTAAGGAATTCCCCCTGTATACAACCGTACAAGTACATGTAAAATTGTATTTGAAATAATAATATTCTATTCCCTATCATACCTTCCTTAGTTCTTCTTTTGCTTCTCTTGATCAATCCCATTTCTCTTAACTCTTTCCTGCGTTGTTTTTCATCGTCAGTAAGGCGTGGCCGGCCCCGCCCTCTCTTTCCCTGGCTCCCCATGTGGATGACAACCTCGCGGTTACTGATTCGTGTTTTTTCTCCGGAGCCACGTCTGTTGACTTCAGAGTGAATGTCAGTGAGGGACGAGGAGAAGGTAAGTTGGGGTTTTGAGGCTTCGTCCTCTTCCCCCATGTGCTGGTTCACAATACAGTCTATGTTGATCTACAATTTAAAACAATAAATTAATTAATCATAACAAGTAAGCTAGCAATGTCAGTAAAGAAAGTTTGAGCTGATTTTGATCAAAATTAGATTTTTATACATTTTTAAAATTGCTCTAAAATCGGGCTAAAGACCATGTACTATAGTACAGGGTATTTAGCCAAATTTTGCCAAAAATGACTAGGAGAGAATTCTCCATTTTCATTGCATTTTCTGATGCATATACATGTTTCTATATTGCGTAGAAAGTTTGAGGTGATTCTGATCTAAATTGGATTTTTCATAAATTTTTGAAGTTGCTTAAAAAACAACAAGCAAGTTCTAGCTCACATATTAATATCATATTGATATACAAATTATGATATTAATCTTTGGGAGGTATGCGGCTAAATGGACAGTTCAAAGATGTAAGTTAATTAGTATCTTACTTCACTTCCTTGATCCAACTTCAGAGACTCCTCAGTTTCCGAACAAGGCGACACAATACGAGGAGATGATGCAACATGTACCGGTACCGGAGGATGCTGCGACTCCACCCCCTCGTTAACGTACGGGATATTGAGAGCGGAGAGGAGACCGTCCTCGGAGAGTCCATCAAATATGTTAGGCTTGTGGTCCTGATAGTCAGGATGGTGACCCACTGGGAGCTTATTAGGAGGACCAATAGCATTCTATGATAGAAGGAATGGGGGAAAAGCATATACATGTGTACAATGTACAGCTATAATAGCTCATGGTATTTCTCAGAAATTGGCATAATATTAGGGTAATGCAGGAATTTTAGGTTATAGTGAGGGATGAATCAGATTTTTCAATGAAAATATTAAGCACCATGCAGTGTAGACTTTCAATTTAAATGTTACTGTTTCAATAATAATTGTAAAAGTGCATGCAGTTATATTTAAAGTGAGGCTTTTTGATACTAGAGGGGGGTAGGGGGCCTAGGGGGCTAAGGGGGCAAATTGACTTTTAAATGTATATTTTTAAGATGCATGACCATTATGATGACAGTGGGAGAGAAGAATGTAGTACAAGTAAAGAGTGAGAAAGAGGAAATGGTAATTTATATAAATTTTGCTAATGAGGCTAAACCACGCTGAGTAAACTGAACAAAAGAGCAGTCCTTTCATGTGGTTAGAAAAAATAACAAAAACCAGGAAAGAAGGCAAGAAGGCGTGACTCACATGAACATAAGGAGGAGGACTCCCGAGCCCCATGGTAACGTCAGGAGTGCTGGTGTAGTTCTCATGGAGGACATGGAGCGATGAAGCATGATGGAGGGAGGGAAGGGATCCCAACTCGTGGGGTATGTGCGACAAGGAGTGAGAACGGATCAACTGGGATTGGAGGTTATTGGAAGGAGGAGGAGAGTCTGTGATGGACGTCTCGCGGGATATTATCGACTGTATGAGATCAAGGTCATCCTCTTCCTACATAAAATATAAAAATAACAATCATAATAATAACACACACTTAATTAAGAGCGCACGTTACAATTATAAAATATAACCCATTTATACACATAATTGAACATGACTACATGTAGTATAGTATAGGGATGCAATGTAGTACAATATGCTGTAGTACAATTAATGGGATACAAATAATTGTATACATTATCCATGGTTGCTTCATACATCCCAGTTTCTAAAATCCTGTGGTAAGACAAATATTTCTCTGATCTGGACCACATGCATGTGTCTTCACACACACACAATATACATTTGTACATTAGTGACGCGAAATTTACAACCATACACACACACCACTGTAAAGTAAAGAAACCACACCAAGAAAAATTAGTAAAATAATTTCCATGCCTTTGTACTCTATTGCATATGCCAAATTGCCAATAAACCACATAAGCACACATAGACAGCTATAGGATGGACACTAAGGACAAGAGAACAGACATATGTAACCAAAGGCTAGCCAGCAATAACCTACAAAGAGGACCTGTCATTCAGCTCAGCACATGAGTTAAGGTCACTACTTGGTCAAAAGGAAAGGGCAGCCACAATAAGTCAATAATGATACCACAAGTATAGGAGAGAGAGAGAGAGCAGCTGTGTTTGTATGCACTGGGCGAACCTCAACATCATCCTGTGCTAACCAGACAACAGACACTGTAAATATTCCATTAGCAAGAAGGAAGAGGGGAGGGAGGAGAACAGAAAATGCAGAAACTGTACTAAATAATGTTCACTTTGATCTAACCATATCCTACTAGCTGTTTACAAGGAGAGTGGTCATATCATTAGCTCATGAGACTAGAGGAAGTGTCTAGCTAGTAGTGCACTGTGTGTCAGGTCATATATGAAAAGTATATGCCACACATACCCTCTAGCATATGCACTGGCATTATCAACCAGACATATGTACCGCTACATATTGAGCTTGCAGGTATGTGCGGTTGTGTAGATTTACATGTACATGCATTCATACACACTGTAGTTACTGCAGTAGACTAGTACAAATACATTTACATGTACATGATTAGATCTATGTACATCGATGTACATGCATTCATACACACTGTAGTTACTGCAGTAGACAAGTAAAATACATGTACATGTACATGACTACATTTATGTACATCAGTACATGTACATTTATGTTCAATGTACTACATGACTAGAAACAGGGTTAGGGTACAGTGCATGAGTACAAAGTCCTTACAGTCTCATTGACACTGCTGTCCTGTTTAACGGAGGACTGAGGCTTGAGGAATAAAGAAGGCTGTGATATGCTTCGGGAGAGGGTTCTGTTGGGAGGGAAATCACAGGGTTCCTCCTGCTGGGGTATTGGAGGCAATAGAGTATTCTCAGCAAACCTGGGGAGAGAGAGAGGGAGAGAGAGAGGAGGGGAGAGAGAGAGAGGAGGGGAGAGAGAGAGGAGGGGAGAGAGAGATTGAAGTGAAGAAGTGTTACAGTACAGTAATACTCCATACCTAGTTCTCTTTGGTCCTCTTCCACCAGTCAATGGTACAGCATGGCTCCTACGTCTATTAGCTAAATCTCTATTAATAAAAAACCAATAAATAATTAACACACACACACACACACATGCAGTTTATGTAAGTAATATGCATGCACATAAAGTACATGTACAGTATTATATAGCTGGACAGTGAATGTGTGTGTGTGTCTCAATTGATGTGTGTGAATGGCTCCATGAGTGAGTGAACACGAGTATGAATGTAATGTGGACAATAATAACAAAATCATAGGCCCATTACTGGATTAGCTATCATAACATTGTTAATAAATAATTTCAAACTTCTCATACCAGAGGAGCTTTAATAGCCTGACACTTGACAAACTGGAAGCATTTGAACTATAATTGTTTAACCCTTTGGTACAGCTTCTATACTTTTGAGCTTATAAAAATGAATTTTAAGTTATCATGACGGTATAATGATTTTATAATGAAGAAGCAATGCTTGCTATTCAAGGAGGAAGCATACTTAGCAATTGTTTAAGGAAAACATGAACCTTTGATCTATCATAAGTGATTCTGAAGCATTTTCTACAATGCACAAAGTCAGTTAGAATATAATGATGGAGTCTACATGTACATATACATGTATACATGTACATGAATAATAACGAAGTAAAGGGAGCTTCATAGTTTACACATTACTATGCTCAGGAGAATCTATACAAGGCTTGATCCTTAAAATAATATTATAATTATTTATTATTAAAATGTGATAGGAGACTCCAAGACTGTTGATAGTCAAAAGTTCAATCTCACCATCATAAATATTTAGACACCCTAGGAAAGCTGTATGCAAATAATAATTAGTCAAAAATGAGATGTATAGGTGTTGTAGGTAAATACATTAATACTTTCCCAATACAAACATACGCATACAAGCAGCCATAAAAGTGAACAAACGTGTCATTGGTGCATGGACACAAAGCATATCTCCAGACCATAAAATATAAATAATATTCTCTAGTAGTTACACAACTGACCTCTGTGTCTGAGACAAGAGCCTAAGGTTTCCGAGACTCTTTGATCTCTCGTGACGATAGAGCGGGTCCAGATAATTAGAGAAGTGTGTGGGCGGTTGAGAAGGAGGACCAAGAGGAGAATTCATAGCAATATTAGAATAAGAGCCGCTGGGGGTGTACGGGTGGTGACTGACGCTCCCTCCTAAGTGATGAGGAGGAGGCGTGTCAAAATGTTGTGGGACATGAAGAGCCGGCTCCGACTGCATGAGGGAGAGATTGTGAGTGACTGGCCCCCGGGGGGCATGGTTGTTCCCGTAGTAGCCCCCAGGGTGCTGTAGAGGGGTCTGGGATGAATTTGGGAGCAGTAAATTATCAGGATACCAGGCAGTGCCAGTAGTGGACACCTGCAGGGAGAGAGAAGAAAGGAAGGATAGATAGATAGACAGATGAATAAGATAAAGGAGAGATTGAGAAGCTAGTGCATGTACATACTTGTATATTCCTAACTCTAATTGGCAACGAACTATTTATCTGAACAGACATGTACGTGTATATTTGGATGTGGATCCATAGGACTGTTCCATTTAATTACCATAAACTGCCAAAAAATAAACCAGCCAAAATAGTAACTGGAGGGGGAGGGAGCTAGGGCAAATAAAGTACAGTACTTGCCAATTACAATGTACCTACATGCATACACCAGACTTGTGCTACACTGTACACGTAAGTGTGTGTATATTACAGTACCTGTTGGACTTGAGGAGGTGCTGGGGGAGGTATGGACATTAATATAACCTCCACAAGATAAGGATTAACAGTATGGACCATGTGGTGTACATCTTCAACTGTTAGTTCCTTTAAAAATACAAAAAATTATTTAAACACGTGCTCTCCTACTGTCTTCCTCTATTCTTTGGCCTCTCCTTTCTGCAACTCTCTATTGCCTCCATTCTCCTCCCTCTCTCTCTCTCTCTCTCTCTCTCCCCTCTCTCCATTCTCCTCTCTCTCTCTCTCCCCCTCTCTCCTATTCTCACTCTTGTTTGCAAATTGTGGCTCATAACAGTTCCAGTAATCCATGACAAGTGTTGTTGAACACTGCAGATCCTCACCCTTTGTCCAGACAAATTACCGCCTACACCAAAAAAGAAAAGAGAAAAACAAAAATAAAGGAGTGTATGAGTATGAGTGTGATAGAGATTGGGGGAGGGAAAGGGGGAGGAAAAGTAAAAGAGATGGTGAGTGGATAAGAATAATCTAGTAACATAATACCTGCAATAATCATGCATATACATGTATATATATATATATATATATATATATATATACACACACACATCATTCATCTACTTACTACCAAATAGCAAGGCATCTCTATTATGCTGCTTGCCCTCCCAATCTGTTAGCTCATTTAGCATCTGGGTATGCTGCGATAAAGTCCCTTTGGCCTCAATTAGCTAGAAAAGACCAGAGATAAAAGAGAGAGAAAAGGAAATGAAACAAAGAGTGAAACAGTGGCTACATGATGGCTCATATTTATTTCCCAGCATACATTCAATTGCTTTGTATCGGATAATTGGAGATAGCTCCTCTCCTGGTCACAGAAATACTCAACAAGCACGGTAGTCCTAGAGACACCCAAACCACCACACAGGAGAGAATAGGCCTATACAAGACAATAAAGAAAATGCATATTAATGTAAGTACAAGATGTCCATATTAGCATACAGCATATGAGCATGTAGCATCACAAAGAAGTGCTTTAAAAATATCATTTTCCTGGAGGTGTTTATGCATTCCGGTCAACTTGATGAAAGGCTAAAGGCTGGAAGCTAAAACCAACATTACTAGGCTGGGCAATGCTTAATTGGCTAGTCACACTACTATTAGTATTGGATAACTGATTGTCTGGCTGCCATATAATGCATTCATGTTTTCACTGTAGACTCCTTCAGCTAGCAATAGGTGAGGAGTGTGGGTTCAAATATTTTGACCTTCTGACCCTAATTGGTTGATCAAGAAATTCATTTTTAAGAGAGAGAGAGATAGGGAGAGAGGAGGAGGAGGAGGAAGGTGAGAGAGAGTTGTAGAAATACAACTACACACAGCCAGGAGTGACTCTCTGCCATTAAAAGGTACCAGGTTTGTTTTACTATAATTAAGTTCAAAAGAAATAGAATTTCTACACACACACACACACACACATACACACAAAGCTAAAAGTGTAAAGGAAAAGATCTCAAAGACACTTTGCACACAAAAGAAAAACATGGCTCAAAATATCATTCCACACGCTATACACGTATGTCTAGAATTGAACTTGGAGGGCATACGGTTCAGACCGATTCAAATTACAGCTAGTATATACTTTACATTAATGACATACCAATAGTAACACTGCACTGGAATAGAAATCAATATCATTATGACGTAACGTTACACAAGAAAGAATACCTTTCGACTGCATTGCATACATTGTACATGCATACATACAAATAGCTCAAAACACAAATTGCAATATACTACTAGTATATTGTAATACTAAAATAATAATAATTACGTCAGCTTCATTACATGCACAATTGTACATATTCATGAATGTCCTTGCATACATGCATGTACGCATGCAACATACATGCATGTAGGTGAAGGTACCTTAGCGGGCCAGGCCACAGGATTATTGGAGTCCGTTTCTGTAGGTAAGACACGCCTAGCCCAGACCAACTGGTCTTCGATATAGACAGCAGAGACAGAGGAATAATCTGTGAGGGTGAGCCATTCTCTCTGTCCAGTCTTGAGCCCTTCCAAATACTCTATAAGGACCTGGGGAGGACATAAAGGAGTGGAAGAAAGGGTGTGAAGTGAGATAAGAGAGCTAGCAGGCCGAAGAAAGGTTTCCATGCTAACCTTAGCCTGGCTGAGATCAGATGAGCGCTGAAGGGGTTGAGTTGAGGCTCGTATTGAAGCGAGGGAGATGGTCCCTCCATCAGAGGAGACCAAGAGACAGTTTAAACCTACCAGACTCATGAGGGAGGAGGTAGAGAGACAGACTGGGCACTGGACACAAGGAGGAGAAGACGGACCTCTTTCTACATGTGAAGAGGAGGATTGGTAGGTGTGGTCTTATGGGCGTGCCTTGTTTTCCCGCGCTAGCAAATGTAAGATGAAATCATGAAGTTACAGTTGATTAGAGCTACACTAACACTGCTACAGGAAATCAGTTTATTTAGGATCAAGATTTACCC